GAGAAGAGGAGGCCCACGACAGTGAAAGTCCACGGATCCTTCGTGAAGCTCCGTCTCTTAGACAAAGCTCTTGCAAGATGTGCTTTGCTCTTCCAGGTGTCGCGTGGAAATCCTGCCGTGCAAGGTCGGGCTTACCCAAAGAGCAGTTGTGGCTCAAAAAAGACAAAAGAAACAGCACAGGCAGCATGATCAACACACGTCTCTGCCTCTTGGAAATTCCAGCTTGCCATTCTCATCCGCCACTCCGCACAAATATAGAAAGGCAAGGTAGCCGTCCAAATCTGCAGCCTCGAGCTCCTGAGTACTCAAGGTCTGACTTGTTGGAATCCCAAGTCCATATATAGTCTCTACATCTACTCTTATGCTGTACCTAGTGTTCATCCCTTTACCATGTATTTCTACGATATGGATTGCGATGAAGAGAGAAGATAGAACAGATTGTTGCTCATAACCTATGATCTTGGATCGGGAATCTGTGTTTGTTTGTAACGTGTCCAATCCTGTGACTCGTGAGATGTTTTCAACTCATCCACATGGCACTAGGCGCTTTGCGGCTGAGTGGCATCTCGCAGCACTGCCAAGTCACCTCGGGCGACACAGCCCCATTCCCACCACCTTCAGCAGCAATTACACCAGTGTGACTGGCACAGGGTTGAGTCAATGTCCTTGGGTTTACGGTCATGCCAACTCACAGCAAGCACAGGTGTCTAACCATGGCACATTGGACTTACATCTGAAAAAATTGGCGTTCTTTCTGCGGTGTCACATTGCGCCAAAAAGAGGGCGGGCAATCCGCCACTCTGGCTATGTGGCTGTGGCTCATTTGGAATTCCCAAACTGGTACCTGGTAACTGGCAAGACTAAAACCTGCGCAACCCTAGGTCTTGAATTTTGAGCCACACCCTCAAGACCTCTTGGACCCCATTGGAGGGTTGCTCACAACCATCGAGCCAGTCCGTTGCTCCAAGCGCCACGCCTCCGCGCTTCCCAGGTCTCACCAGGCCCTCCAGCAAGTCGCTGGCCAGCTGCAGAGCGGAAGCCGACGCGGCCGAGGCGCTCGGCAGCAAAGCGAAGGCGATCCGCCGCATCTCACATGAGTCGTATGAGTCACATGAGTCACAATCAAAATCCGGTATCAAAATGATTGTAATCCCAGAACCGGTCACAATCAAAATCTGGTGTTAAAATGGTCGTAATCCCAGAACCATGTAAAGAACGAAGGCGGCCGCAGCTATTTATGGTTGGGATTGTCCCTCACTAACCTTCACTTACCCGGGTTTTGATTATGGCTCACATGGACCCAGCTAGTAAGCATTTCAAAAACCCACACCCATTGACAAGGAGTCAGTTTGCGGACTCCAGGGTTGAGCCAAAACAGCTCGGCTTGTGAAGCTGGGAGCTCGGTGCAGCAGGGATTGCCTCCTCTCTCTGCTTTCTGGTCGAATCCAATGCGCACAATTCCCACCGCTCACTTTCCTTGTCACCTTTCTTCTTCTTTTTCTTCAAGGGCGGTGCCCCCTCACCTGCTCAGCCAAAACCGCGCAAGGGCCATGCCATCGCGCGTGCAGCCCAGCGGCCCAGATCCAGCTTCACCTGCGGCGCAACAAGGGCGAAAGGCGGGGAAAAACGTCGCCGCCCACGTCGGGGCAACCAGAAAAAGAACGAGACCAAGCGCAGAAGCCTGTGTTTCCTTCGGCTGCTCAATGAGTCATTGAACTTGCTGCCATGGCACCGCACTCTTGCCACCAATCGCCATCAAGCGCACGATCTTCGGGGAGCCCTTCTTCCTAACGGCATGAGGGGGCTCGTTCTTGTGAGGGCAGCCGTCTTGGGCTTGGGCTGTGAATCAAACGAAACCATCTTGGGTGGGATTTTTGAAAGTAAGTCAGGAGATCAACATGGCATCAACCATTTTGAGGAAGCCCTACTCTTCACACATTGGCACTTGACACCGCGCCCCGTCCACCCTAGTTGTGACAGGGACGCCGACAATGTTGGTATCACAATAGAAAGGCCCCCCAAATCAAATGTGAATTTTCTTTGAGTGTCCCTTCAAACCAACCCAATGACTCTCATACCTCCAGACCTGAAAATTGCGGTGCCAATGGAGCCCCTTGTCTTACTGCATCAAGGCGACTGGAGGCCCCATCCCACCACCGGCTGAGACCTCAAGCGAGATGCTGCAAACTCCACAGACCCCAAACAGACCTTAGAAAGATGCAAAGGCTGTCGCGAGGCTCGGGCTTGCCCAGCTTGCTCACTTCCAGCTCTGCATACCAAGTGCCCTCACCTCAGGGCACTTTCTTTGTTCCATCTCCTGGAAGCAAAGCGACTGAGTGCTGGGCGCACAGGGAAGCGCAGCAAGGCCATACCTTCAAACCTCAAGAGCCGCATCCAAAGCTTTGCTGTGAAAAGCTTAGGGACAAGGCGTGTCTCCCAGAGGAGTGAGAAGCTCTTTGTCCTCCTTATTGACCACCTCAAGCTCAAGTTGCAATGTGTACATCCCCAGCATGTGAGAAGGCTGGGGCAACAATGGCACCGTCGTTGTACCAATGCGAGCTGCTATTGTACTCCACCAGGAATGGGCAACTTGTGCCTCAATTCAGCTCGCAAACTCCACACGTCCAGGTCTAAGGCCCTTGGGGCGAGTGCGATCATCCTCTATGAGCGTGCCGACTTGACCTGGCCGTGCTCACTTCCAAGCGCACTCTGCTGGCAAATCCAGACCTGGCTTGAGGCAGCCATCCTCTCCATCGAACTGTTTGTAAGCCTGCGGCAGGTTTCCTTAATCAAGGAGCTCAGCTGAATCCTGGGCCTTCGAAAGCTTGACTTTGTCACCAGGCTGTGGCCGTGCAGTAATCCTGGACAGGCCAACGACCAATCTCGGCACCAACCTGAAACAACGACTGAGACCACCGCATCTGCAGGTTGGTTTTCACCTCTGTCCAAACACGCACACTCCCGCTGACTTCTATGCATTTATTAATAAATATTGTACCTCTCACAGCAGAGCTACCAGTGTGCAGGTTGGCAACTCTCGCTGGAACACCGCCCAATTTCAGTCAAGCATGATGCGCAAAGTATGCTTTGGCAACTCCAGCTGGAGCATCGCAAGAATGCAGCAAAAGCACAGTACTTGAACTTGGACATCTTGGCTGGAATGTTGCAATTGTTTAGCACAAAATAGAACAAGTGCGGTGAACGGAGTACTCTTCGGCAAGTCCATCAGGAACATTGCAGTCTTTCGGTTTAGCCCTATGCAACTCTGCAAAGCTGGGCGCCTGGAAATAGGGTCCTTGACCAAAGCCCCCCTTCAAAACTGTCGCGGGCAAAAACTATCACGGGGTCCATTGCGGAGCCTTCGGGTAGGGTAACGCATAATACCAAGTAGCCCCTACTTGTCTCAAAGCAAGGAGCTGTCAGGCGCGGGGTGCATACATATATATATATATATATATATGTATATATACATTCATACATACATATATACACACACACACCTTCACAGACATCATTACTTTGTGTTGTGTTGTGTTGCGTTGTGCTGCGTTACGTTTGCGTTGCATTGCATTGCATTGCATTCCATATCTGTATATATGTATATATCTGTGTACATGTGTATATATGTATATGTATATATGTGTATATGTATATATGTGTATATATATATATATGTACATATACATATATATATATATGTATATACGTACATCCCCATCCACATCCACATACATCTACATGTCCATGTAGATACACGTACACATGTACATGCGCATACATATATACATATATACATATATACATATGTACATATGTATGTATGTATGTATGTATGTATGTATGTATGTATGTATGTATGTATGTATGTATGTATGTATGTATGTATGTATGTATGTATGTATGTATGTATGTATGTATGTATGTATGTATGTATGTATGTATGTATGTATGTATGTATGTATGTATGTATGTATGTATGTATGTATGTATGTATGTATGTATGTATGTATGTATGTATGTATGTATGTATGTATGTATGTATGTATGTATGTATGTATGTATGTATGTATGTATGTATGTATGTATGTATGTATGTATGTATGTATGTATGTATGTATGTATGTATGTATGTATGTATGTATGTATGTGTATATATATGCACCCTGAACAGTGCAACTTGTCCAGCTCTGAGTTCAGGTCGACACAAGCCTTTGGATCCCACTTTCCACCCTCGTCCACCTGAGGCCTCAAGCACAGCAGTTGCGATGTGCCGATGGCTTGCAACCTGAGCCCCTGTCTTGAAGCAGCCTTGGGTGTTCTTCTTGCCAATGTGCCGCGCGATCCAACGCCCGGACCTGGCAAGGCTCAACCTCCTTGCAGGTGACCAAGGGACACCTCCATTTGCAAAGTAATGGGGAAACACCTGGTATCCTAGGGCGCTCAATGTGGGGTTGATTTAGGGTGGAGCACATGACGGGATTGGCCGGGATTGGCTTTCTGTCGGTAAGAGGGATGATGAAACTAGAAATAGAGGAGTTGCACCATCTACGTCTTTCTCTCGAAATCCTCTTGGGAAGCGGGGGCAAAGAGGTTGTAGTGGTTGGGTCCACTTGAGTCAAGCAGCAGTGCGGCTCTCTGCCAGGTGCCCCGAAGTGCCCCGTCAGTACCTGAGATCTGCCGGTTTTTCATTTGGCCATGGGTCAAAATCCAAATCGTACCCCCAGTGAACATCCCAATCCCCACTAAAATAGACCAAAATGGGTGGTGCACCTACCCCAAAAAGGTACCATTGGTTTTGACCCACAGCCGTTTGGAAAGAGGGCCCGGCCGAGTTCGGCATCAAAGACAGTGCCGTGCCACTTCTCACCTCGTGTCAATGAAACATGAACCATGGGGCCCACCTTTCGGCAAAATATGCGCGCCTTCTGACGCCAGCTCCAAGCGCAAAGCCCTCGCACACACGGAAACTCCCCGATCCGATCCCTATGCCTCGAAATTGGAACCCTTGGGATGCTGGTTTCACCGATTTGCGGAGGACCTGGTTTTGCCACATCCGATCACCCGCCTGGTCAAAGAGTTGAACTCTCCCACGAGTTGTGGGTGGCTCTCCACCTTTGCAAAAGCATGCCGCTGAATGCCTCATACATGAATGCCTCTTACGTCACTTGCCCATTCCGAAGCAAAGTGGCTGTCTCCTTCTCAGACAAGACGGGGCCAGCCTGGCAAGAATGTGGCGCTGGACAACTTGTTGGTGCGAATGCAACATAGTTGCCAGTTTTGCCTGTCTCAAGAACCGAGGGTAACGCAATTTCCCCACAGCCATGGATTCGGACAGTCTCAGGGCGTGGCCAAAGCAGCGCCAGTGACTTTGAGCAAGTGTGATGCACGAGCATCGCCCTCGCAGTTCGCCTGGGGCGAGCCCCCTCAAAACTTAGCATGCTTGCCATTTTATCCCAAAACGCAGTCGGCAGGCGGAGCTTCAAACCTCCAAGACCAGGAGCCCAGCAGGATGTGCTGTCATCCACGCGTTCCAGGCGTGCTCAATGGGATCTCCACCAGCCTGTACAGAAAACCAAGGATAGATATCAATAGGTCTCTCTCTCTCTCTCTCTCTATCTTACCATTTGTTCATTTGGCCATGGGTCAAAATCCAAATCGCACCCCCAGTGAACATCCAAATCCACGCTAAGATAGGTCCTAAACTGGGCGGTGCACCGAAAATCCCCAGAATAGGATCCCATTGGTTTTGACCACCACAGCCATTTCTTCACTTTCTTTTTCCTCCCCAGCCGCCTGCAGCTCGAAGCGCCAAATGCCGCCCATGCGGGACTCCCGGCACACCTGGCGCCCACTCCGCCCACTCCGCCCGCGACTGGGCGCCACGAGCCGCGGGTGGCGCCTTGAGGCCCTCGAAGGTGCCGCGGGAGCCGTCCTCGGCACGCCAGGTGCCCTGCAGCTCCGGCACCTGACGAGGGAGACGTCAAAATGGGCCAGTCATCTCAGGGTTTTTGTATTACGCCCTATAATTACGCCTGGGAAATGACCCCATTTAGGCATATGTCCAGGATAAAGTCATGTTATGTTTGACCATTTTGGGCCATTTCCCAAGGGTGTAATCCCAGAGTGCAATACAAAAACCCTCAGAATTCACAATGATTGTCTAACTTTCCTATGAGAGGGTTTGATGATCCCTACCGACCCCCAAGGAGTAAGGATTGCCTTTCAACAGCCCAGACTGTTAGTGCCGTAAAAAAAAAAAAAAAAAAAAAAAAAAAAAACAACTTCACCGAAAGCCTATCAACCATGCACCCTACAACGGGTGAGCAACTGCTCCTGCCTGCCCCTCCTCAACCATGAGACTCGCGTCCGCATAAGCCACAGAGATACCGCCTGGAACAATTCCAATTCCTTCTGCGTGCAAGGGATCCTTTTTGAACCTCTCCCCAAGAGAAACTTGCCACAGCGTTGAAGATGGAAAAGTGGGACGGGCAACTTTGACTCACCTAGGTGGGGAAGGCATTGTGCTTCTTTTTTGTCTCATGTATTTCTGCAACAAACCACTGTCATGCATGCTTACTATTTGAGCTGTCCATCTAACACAGCCTTAAGTCTCATTCTCGGGCTGTTGCACCTGGAGATGGCATCTTGACTACAACAAACGCGAACCTTTTAAAAGCAGCGTCTTGCAGCATGTGTTAATGCGAAAACCAGCAAAGCAGTCAGTTGGCGCTGGAGACACGGCCCAACTCATTTTGACACGATCAAACTCGCGAGCTCGATCGCAAGCGCATCTGCGCCTGCACCCTCCAGGTCCAGCTGCAAGTTGCGGCCGTCCAGGCCTTGGGCGGAAAAGGGGAAGCAGAAATTTCAATCCAACTGGATTCTCCCCGCTCGCAAAATGTGGGCGTTGCAACTTTGGGAAAGCAAATTGCTTCCAAACAATCACCAGAAATGTTGCCGCAAAACTAAGTACCTACGCGGTACGCGGCGCAAGGCCCGAAGCATGTGACATGTCGCTGTGCTAATCAGCTAATCCTGCCACGTGAATCGGGCACAGGCTTCTGAATATTACACAAAGAAACTGCAAAGAAACAACTGTTCCCGGAGAATGTCCCTGACCCTTTCAGGACCACATCCGGTCCAGAAGAGCTGTTTTCTCAGCTTGAACAAAATGCTCACAAGCCGACCGAGTGATTTCATGGAATTGCTCTAGCTATGGCACTGTTGAAATTCCACACAGACTTGTCTGACTGATTGTTCTTACAGGTGATCATTCGCGTGTTTCCCCATGTTTGCTTACAGGATGCGGCAGGTCATGGTGGCAGAGCTGACAAGCGAGGCTTCGCAAACAAAGTTATTGCATTCGTGACACATTCATGTACACGCATTGCAATCTGGCCCGGGCCGTCCATCAAAAGTATACGCCTGTCTCTTCTTTAAAACAAAGCACCGCACAGCTGAACTTGGCTGGAAGATATGTTTCTGCAAAAAGGCCAGCTCTGGATTGCACGTTCATCGCGAGCTGGTGATGCCTTATCCTCGAGCTTCCTCATGTGTTCTCCCACGACACGCATTGTGTCAGCTCATCTCACGCCAAGGCAGTTAAGTCACCATTTGAGACCAGAATCGGCAATGGCTGTTTTATATATGTATATAATATGTACCATAGGTCTGCTTGGTGAGACCCATTTTGGTTTACCCCCAAGTCGGTCTGAGCGTTCCCGCGGCCTCGCGCCGCCCACTGGTTGCCAGGTCGAATGGGGCTCGGCGGAGGGCCCGGCCTCGCTCAAAACCAAAATGGTGGCTCTCATCGGATTCGGAACCCAAAATTGGTGGTGGTCAGAAATAGGCCAACTCCAAAACGGCTTGCCCTGGTAAATGGAAACAACAACTAAAACCTGTGGCCCTCTGGGGTCAGAAATAGAAAAAGGAAAATGGAACACCGAAAATAACCACACAAATGGGAGAAATAACCCCAGAAATAGAAAATTGAAAATAACTAAAATAACCCCAAAATGGCTTGCCCAGGAAAATGAAAAGGACTAGAACCTGCGGTCCATATCCTGGAGGTTTAAGCATGACCCATACCCAAATGGCACAACGGTCGTCCTTTTGTTCCTTTTCAACCAAGGAACAATTGGACTCCTTCAATTGATTCATGGTAGGAAACCAAGACCAAAGCGGCCGCTTGGGGTCGAGTTGTGACACATTCTCGGAATGCGTTGTTGCGTTTCAGTACTCTACTGGGAACAGCTTACGATAGTCAACGTGCCCGAACTATCGCCCGACACCTTTCGTGCTCTCACTCCGGGAGGCAAGCGGTTCCAGCTTCACGTAGTTTGCACCTGTGGCTCTGCCAAAATGCTGCATTGCATGGCAGAGACTGCATGGATGACTGATTTCTAAGCGGGAACCACCTCAAAGGGGTTGGTCGACATGAACCCTCACCTGGCTGATGTCCACCGAAGAGCCCCTAATTAAAATTCAGGCCTATGAAACGTGTCAAAGCCGGAGACCTCTCCATGTTTAGTTGCTTTCATGCAGCCCTCTTTGACCCAAAGGTCCTACTTTCAACATGGGTTTAGCAATGAAATGCTAAGCATTCGGCGCACTGATGGCATCTGCTGCCACTCCTGAGAAGGGCAATGTGTCTGAAACGCGTGGCAAGGTTGTGCAAGATCTCCGAACATGAAAGGCGTTACTCGGGCCGAATCATGCGAATCTGTCCAAACCTCGGCCATGTCTGACGTGCCGGCTTGGCGTCCCTAGATGGCCATGGGTCAAAATCCAAATCGCACCCCCAGTGAACATTCCAATGCCCACTAAAATAGGTTCTAACATGGGTGGTGCACCGAAAACCCCCGAAATGGGATCCCAAAACGGTTTTGACCCAGATGAGGCCAAAGGAAAGGGCACCTCACATCCCGCCCCGTTCATGGCGCCTCCGTGGACATCATGGAGACCTGCAACGGGAAAGATGGAACCCATTGATGTGCAAACAGTTTCTTAACTTGGGGTCCTTTTCAACCGGTCCAAATTGGGGGGCATAGCTTTAAGGAAGAAAACAACACAAAAAGCGCAGTGAATGCAAACCCCTCTGATGCATTTGCAATCCCATGCGAATTAAGAACCGATGCCAATCCATTGGTTCCGTGCCTCCTTGCCATCTTTCTTGGCCAGAACAATGTCGCGGAAGCTGTACCAGTAGCAGTTGTTGTTCTGACAGCTTGCGTCATCGGGCACTTGCATTCCTTGTCTGAATGGCGCTAGAAGCGCACGTTGGATGTTCTTTGCATCCCCAGCATTTGAACACAATATTCAAGCAACACAATGAGTAGCCCCGGCTCAATGTGGGGAGCAAGCGAATCATTCAACGCCATTCTCCAGCCTCAGCGCGATTTGGGGTGAAGACAAGCGCTTCTCCTCGGCCCCAAATGCAGAGTATCATGCATGATTCAGGCTGAATTCGCTTAGGCAAAGCCTGACTCAGGGTGCTTTGAGTGCGGAAGCAACGGGGATGATGTGCGCGTTGGTTTCGTTTGGCGTTCGGCTAAGTTTGGCGGGATTGGATTTGTTCATGGGATTGCTTTAAATTGGATTTGGGCTTGGTGCTAGCTTGGGGCTGTGTTGAATGTACTGAAGCTGCAGCAGTCAACAGCAAAACCGCACAAAAGCCAGCCGCGAGCCAAACAGCCTGAAAAGAAACAGTCCAAAACGCAACCACGTCGTTTAAGCAGGCCATGTCTTTCTCCGAAGCCATTGAAGTCCCCCACCTTTTGAAACCCTAGAACCCTCACGACTGGGACGCGAGCCATAGTTGTCGATTTGGCCAACCTCTCCGGTAGCCTGGGGTCTGAGAAGCTCGCAGACATGATATCTGCTGCCTACGGGCCAGCTTTGTCCCAGCGGGTTTGAAGAATGCCCATCAGAAACTAAAAACGCACGCAGAATGAGAAATGGCCAAAACAGCAATGCGACAGACGTGCGCCAGGGCAATTGT